GGGCTCAAATGTGAAGTACAATGGTAGTAAGGCACACATGTGGTGCAGGGTGTCTCCCAACTCCTGGCCCCAACCTCTCCCCTTTTTTTTTCCTCTGTGGAGCCTTCATGAAGTTCTCCTTAGATATCTTTAGCTATCTCTCTGCTAGGCTCCAGGTGTCAGTGCCTTTCTAAAGGCCATAGCTAGCCCTTCTCTCTCCAAGTATCATATTCCTTAAGACCATAGCCATCATCATCCTAGGTCTTTCCACAAGGGCTTCCACTGTCATTAGCTACTACTTCTCTGGTAGCCACTACTACTGACTCTGGTTGCTGGTGGGACTTCTGATGGAACCTCTGTGGATCCCCTGAATTCATGCAATCACCTGGGCACTCCCCTTCTCAGTCTAGTAATTCACTTAAGATCAGGAAAGAATAAGCACAGAAGAATCAGAGGTACTATGTGTTCATGGATATACATTGACCAGATGGGGGAATGTGGCCAGCTTGACCCTCCCCCACACTGCAACTCAAAGTATCTCTTCTCATTCAAAGCCTCCAAAGGAAAGAGAATGAGATTGGAGTGGAGCCCACCTTTTTATGCACTCAGTTCAGGGTTAGCACCTTCTGCATCATTGGTTTTTCCACAGCCAATTAGAAGACTTTTTGTCAACAGATAGCACCATTCTTTGAATCATTGTGGCCAGAAACTTATTCTCATGGTGACTTGGACTGAAACTGTTTTGAGCACGTGCTGAAGGAATTAGGCACTCATTGATCAGTCCCTTTGTTAATTATTTTCATTATTATTAATTATTAATTTTCAGTCCTTATCTAATCAGCTGGGATGCATTTTGAACTCATTGTCCATATCCCCAATCCAGAACAATTCTCTAGGGTGCCAGGGAGATTCAAATATTGTCCTTTTTGAATACTTTACCCGGTGCCTTTTACTAAAAAATTTCAGAAAAGTACCTGTCATAGATCTTATACCATCCCAAACTTACAGGCAGAAGTTATAATCACACCCCACCCCTCCTGAAATAGAGTTATGCAGATTCAACAAATAACATTTTAAAAAACTTAATCAGAAGTTATTTCTTACCTTATATTTATAAAGTACCTGTCTTAGTACTTGCAAAGGCTTGTACCTCTATAGCATAGCACCACTCAGGGACTACTTCCCCAACTCCCATTAACATTGGTGGGTGAGGTTCCCAGAAGGCAGCATATGACTACCCTCAGGGTTTAGAGGTAACCTTGAGGGGCTGTGTTTCTACTGTTGCTTATGAGCCCTCACTGGTGTGCATCCCATTGATTATCAGCCAGTCACCTCAATTAGCTGTTAGAAAAGGGTATTTACTAAGGTAATACAGTAAGAATATTTAGTATAAAACCTCCCCCCCCCCCCAAAACTGTAGGTACATTCTTGCTCTGGACACATCCTAGGGAAAATGGGCTCAAATTTAAAGTACAAAAGTAGAGAGACTGTATAAATAATGCATGTTATAAAAGGGTATCTCACAACTACTGGTTATTGGAAGTCCTTTTCTTCCTTTGGAGAGCCTTCAGGAGGCTCCCCTTAAATGCACTTGTCCTCTGGTGCCTTTGTAGAGTCAACAGCTGGCACTGTCACAAGGTGTCACAGTCCAGAAGCTGCCACTGTTCTTAGGTGAATTTTATTGCAACCAGTTTTGTCATGGAATGAATGAATAGGTCATTTATTAAGCACTCACAATGTGCAAATCACTGTGCTAAGCACTGGGAATACAAATAGAAGAGTAAGACAGTCCCTGCTCTCAGGGAGCTCACATTCTAATTGGGGAGAAACACATAGGGAAAATTTCCACCGCAAGCAAAATGGAAAGATCCCATGGTCCTAAAGGTACAAGGGTAAAGTAGATAATAACTCCTCTTACTTAAGGTCATTTCTACTGATAAAATCTTCTAAGTTTCTGATATTGAAACACTTACAGTAGAAGGACCCTGGTGAAAACTTTGTTTTCTGGGTCTTCCATAGTTGTGGCTGTAGTGCTTGCAGGAACAGTTAGTCAACTGTATCTCCACAGGAGTTGCTAGCATTGTACTCTTCATTCATTGCTACTGACTCCAGTAGACTCTACTACCAACCCTTGTCACCAGAGTCCCTTCTGATATATCATCAGAATCTTGAAATGGGATGGGAGAGACACAGAGGCAGAAATAGACTCTCTCCACCCCACCATCAAGTGATTCCCTCATAGACTTGACTGGCAGTCTTCTACCACTACATTTGTTTGACAAGAGACTTTACTATGCTGACCTGGCTTGCTTTGTTTTGTGCATAGGCCAAGAAGTGTGTACTTATCCTTTCATCCAATCACAGACTATTTTCTGAGTGGCATCAGCTGCCTATCCAGTGGTCAAAAGACTTTATTTCTCTCAAATTGATTAATGACACTCCCCCCACCCCATCCAGTTTACTCACTGAATCATTTACTGAGCTGCTTTCTTTAATTACATTAATTGGGGTGGAGATAGAAGTCCCCAGCCAGAAGGAAGGAAGGGAAAGAAGGAAGGAAGAAATGGAGGGAGGAAGGGAAGATACATTTAAAAGTAACTAAATAATAGGCTCAAATAATTACTGTTTGCCGTTATTTCTCTTCTTACTAGATAGAATGCCATCCCAGAATGGACATTATGACATCACAATAAGCTGAAAATAGAGCTTATTAGAGAGGCGATTTTACTTCACATATGGATTAAATGAAATAGAACTTTAAGTCTCCCAAGGGCTTTAGTTTTTAGATCATTCAAGATATGGGTTTGGTCATCAAAATTTTAGATGCTATTCAACTCAATTTTTAAATTGTTTGTTAAATGCCTACCATGGGCAAGGCCCTGGCCCTCAGGCCCTGGAGAAACAAAAAGATGATGTAAGACAAAGACCCTGCCCTTAAGGAGGGAAAGACCTCTATGCAAACAACCACAGTATGGGCAGAATATAAGTGGAGTTCAGAGGCAATGTCAAAAAGGTTATGAGCAATGGGTGAGATCACTTCCAGCCATCCTTTAGCTTTCCTACAAGATTTAAAAGGCCAGGTGACTTGCCCAAGGTCACCCAGCAAGCTAGTGGCAGAATCTGGACTGGTTTTGTGAAACTGAACATTGACTTAACCCAAGAAGCCCATGGCAGTGATTTAAATATATAACATAGATAATAGCTTTAAAAATTTGACTCTCTCATTGTGACCATAAAACAATTCTGGAAGGCAGCTTTAAATGAAACAGTTTTCATTGTTCAGACATCTAAAAAGCCAACCAGCTTTCAGAAATGACTAAATGACCTACTAGTATTCTTTATTCTTTTTTCTTTTTTAATGGAGGCTTTTGCTCCCCTGCTGAGACCACGTATTATATCCAGTTTCACATCAGAATGAATTTTTGTGGCTAAGTTTGAAAACCTCCTGAAAATAGCAATTAATAATGGAAAAGCTGACAGACCCATAAGTGTAGTGGCATGAATGGCGCTGCTATAATTATGTGCCTTGGTGTGCTTATATACATGTAAACACATTATAAAAATATAGTATGTGTGTGTATGTGTGTGTGTGTGTGTGTGTGTGTGTGTATGTGACAGTGTGTCCTCATACAGGTAGTTGAGGAAGTGAGTGCATATGCATCCAATTCGATTCAATAAATATTTATTGAGTATAAAATATGTGTAGCCTTAGATTAGATGCTATTAAAAGTAAAATTTCAGTTTTACATTTGGGTAACCCTCCTTATTTCTCAAAGTGCTTTACATAAGTGATGTCATTTGATCCTCAAAACAACCCCTTACTTGAAGATGTTGTTACACAATTTGACAGATGAAGAAACTGAGACAGTGAGGTTAAGTGACTTTCCATCACAGCTGGCACTAGAATTGGGGTCTGATGGCTCTAATTTCAGTGTTGTTTCCACTGTTCTGTGCTATATTCTTCTACCACTCTAAATGACAGTCTGTTCTTCAGGAGCAGATATGGCATGTTTTCATGATTGCAAAATCTCCCCAAAGTGACACTTAACTGTAGTAGAGTACTGGCAGCCAATGTTGATAGCCTTGAAAATAATTAGGAGCTAATAGACTTCTTTAGAAAGACAAAGATAGTTTGATGATTTGAACACCTAAAAATTTCAGGAGAACAAAATACCTGTGTGACACCCTAGTAGTTGTCATCATTTAGAGGAACTTTATGTCAGAGGTTCCTCTGAAATCAAGGAAATACCTTGTTGAAGAAGAAAAAAAAATTTCTTAAGGCTATGTGGTACTGAGTGAAATAATTTGCTCTATTAAATCAGTGTCACTGAAATTCAGATGCTGGAAAGCTAGAATGAGTTGCTTTGCTAGAATCATGGCCATTTTGACGGATTTCAATGAAGCTGGAAAAGGCTGTTGGTAGTAGTGAAATCTGAATACTCTACATATTCATTAAAAAAAAAAACTTGGTGATCATATGTGTTTTTATGGAGCATTGCTTGACATGAGGTTCTGATTATAAAGCATTTTCAAGAGATAACAAATGAACGCTGTGTATCCCCATACCTACAAATACTATTGAGATGTTCTGCATTGTGTACGTGTTGTCAGCTGTTATTGAACGGTCCCTGGGTATTCAGTAACAGTGGGTATGTGCTACTGTTCTAGGCACTCTATACAACCAGAAGGTTTCTATGTTGGACTTTAGAGAGATGGTGTATATTATACCAAACACCAAGTTTCAGCATCATTCCATCTGTTAGGTGTGTTGCTTGTGTGACAGTGGCTCATTTTTGATGTGGGGAAAAAAAAAACTTGTCAAAATACTTTATAATTTTTCTTTCACTAAAATCTAGTCTTATTATGAATAGCCAGTTTTATTATTCCCTCTGTGGAAGCCTCATTAAGAACAATTGGGTCTCCCTGCCTAAGAGCAGCTCTCTAAATGTTTGTGCTAATATCTCTAATGTCTGGTCACTTTCCAGTTTGACAATGTGTGAATTTCCTTTCTAATGTTCTAGGGGAAAGCGATGGTATTTGCCCCACTCCGAGGGACTACTTTAAACCAGTTTTGCAATCTAGCTGAAAAAGCTGGTTTCTCTCTCCAAAGACATGAAAATTATGATGAACACATTTCAAACTTCCACTGCAAGGTTAGTTTTCTGCTTGTGTTAGATAACACTTTAATCCGCATTGCATTTTGAAGAGATCATGGTCTTTTTGGCAGGTAACCTAAATATTTGATTAAAGTACTCCTTAGGTGTGTTGCTTCTGAACAGCTATTTGTATCTGACTATTTTTGTGTGGCAAAGTCATCTTTTATCTTTGCACGTCTAGGAGGATTTTACAGAAACGGTGCCTATTTACTCTTTTTTTCTGTAACAAACTAATCTTTCCATTCATAATGGACTAATTTGTGAGATGCAGGAGAGATGGCATAGAAATGAATAATAAATAAGCATTTATATTTTAATGAAAAAACCTACCGCCTTTAAGTAGGTTAAATGCTTTGCTGTCCCAAAATAAATAAGAGGTGAATGTCTAATTGTATCATATCGTACTGTAAATCCTTATCTCCCCTAGCTTTATAGCTGGGTCAGTTGGCAGTTTCAGACTGCTAAATCTCATACAGAATTTCACAGTTGCGAGGTTATATGTCAGATCGAGGAGCTACAAGATTTAGGTCAAAAGCACTTATCTGAGAGTGATTTCTAAGCTTGCTTACATAAAGCAGTGTTATCAGCCTTTTTATTATTTATAGAAGAAGAGTAATGTAGGACACGGAGAGGCAGGTGTTCCACAGAAAACTTTTTAGGAATCCTATGTTTGTTAATACATGTCAGGCTTATCAGGATCACATTTATTACCTCTGATGATTTTAGGGCATTGCTCCACGCCTCACAGAAATCGCCTGTGCTAAGCTAATCTGACCTCAGCAAGATCCTTTGGCTCGTCATGATTTTGAAACTTGTAGTTGCAAAAATTAAAGGTCTGACCTTGATTTCCTCCTGGGAAAATATTAATAGCCTCCCCAACACTCTTTATTACCCATTGGTATAGTAGGCAATGTCTTATTTTTAGAAAAAAAGAAAATGGATGCAGGATGAGTTTCATCTTTGAAGGGAGAATGAGGAAGCCAGGCACTTCCTGGAAATACATTGACTTCCTGGGGTCACCAGGGTCCCATTTTAGTCCCTGGAAGAAGATTTACTAAAATTGGACCTTATGGACTGAAAGAGTTAAATACTTCTATAACTAGCAATTTATTCCTTCTGACAGAATCTGGTCCACCATTTATTATAGGGGGGAGGGGAAGAAAATTACATATAACTCAGCTCTCATCCACTTGCCTAGAAACCTATTTTCCATCATTCACCCCACCCCCAGAACAGGAGGAATGGCTTTCAGGGTATTATGTGGTAGGTGGAATGTTCTCTCCTACTCCCCTTTTTTTCTCCATCCCTCATAACAGAGTGGTCTCCTCTTCAGCTGTAGTTACTAGGGAAGAGATTAGAGGTACAGAGGTCACCTGATGATGAATTTTAACATGATGCCATGCACTTACATAAATGTGAATCATCATTATCTCCTGGAACATCACATGTATTTTCTCATGGTCAGCTTGTAAAATCCAAGTCACCAGGTGATTTATATGGGGCTCTGCACTGTGGGACGTGTCCACCCTATCATCTGCAGTGACTGTTCTGAAGTCAACAGTAGAGTCCTTGGCTTACCCCCCCCCCCCACCTGTATAAGTGCTCAGTGAACAGTGACTTTCTCTTTAAACTCTGCCTGGTGCCTACCTCAGCATAGCGCACGCCCATAAATAAGCACCCTCAAAAATAATCATTGACTGATTGACTAGTTTCACAAAAGTAGCATTTATTGAATAAGTAGAATTGACAGAGGGCCTTAATTCATTATCTCAGCATAAATGTCTAAAAAATCAAAGTATGTGAGTTTTCCCCTATTCATTCACTTTACACATTACCTCAGGGATCTCTTTTGTCATCTTTTAAGTATCTGAAATGTTGCTGGGAGATGTGCAGGGAGAGCTTTAGGTAATTGGTATAACATGATAGCAACAGTATATCTAAGTTTTTTGGTGGTGTTTAGCCCAAAATGGGAAGAGTGCTGGATTTAGAGTAGGAGACATGGGTTTGAATCTTGGCTGCCTGGCCCTCGGTTTTCCTCATCTGTAAAATGAGAATATTGGGCTAGAAGATACCCATCCAGCTCAAAATCCTGAGATTGCATGACTACAAAAGGGTGCCTCTTGTCCCGTGAACAGAGACATAGAGCACCAGACTTTCCACCATCGAGGGCCTCGGATCACGCTGGAATAATTACTCTCAGGACAGATGCATTCCGGCAAAGCTATAAGGGATACACTTGTGGTTGTTTATAAAATGAGGGTGTGCAGAAGGGATCCCCACTGAGCTAGGGCTTTTGGAGGGGGGGTGTGGAGGTAGGTGTTGGTGAGCAGAGCTGGCAGAGTTGGTCTGGAGTGAATGCTGCCTCCTTACAGATTTAGAGGGCATCTTCCAAAGGATTGAATATATATATATATATCAAAGCCACCAAGAGAGCTACTCCATTGTTTCTCTCTTGCTACCATCCCATCCGTCCTCAGGACAAAGTAGGACATGGTGCTGCATGCTGGACAAGTGATCCAAGCCCAGGAGTACTTGTCTGGGAGTGTGAGCCTCCCCAGAGTAGGGCAGGGTAGGGAGGGTAGGGGATGCTGACATCAGAAGCCATCTTATATTTGCCTTATGCTAGTGATCCCCAGCTTTAAAAAGTTTTCCCTCTTAGTGGGGGAAACCAATTGCCTTCCCCTCCATCTCCTTGTAAACTTCCACCTTCCCTGGGATGAGACTGCTCCCAAATGAAGGAGAGGAGTTTTCCTTCAGGCTGCATGTTATCCTCTTAGCCCTACTGTTTTGGAATAGAGCGTAACCAGCTGGAGAACTGTAAGACGTCTGATAATACAGCTCTTTGCTGCTGTCCCGTCTTAATCTTGTTACACAAATGGTTGTGAAGAGATTCATGAATTTTAATTTTGCCCTCTGCATTAGTGCCTCGTGTCACTCATACACAGCTGCCTCCTATGTAGAGTTTTTCACCCCTCCTCCTACAACAGGGGGAGAAAATTAGTTACAATCTTGGCAGTAGTGCAAGTTTAAAAAAAAAAAAATCCACAGATTTAGGCAGCCACCCATGAAGCTGATTAACAGTCAGTGATCAGGAGGAACAGCTTTGCCTCTTAAACTTTTCACCTTTCATTGTTAGCTGTGAAATTTTATTTCCGTTAAAAAAGCAAGCCTGTAATCAAATCTGTGCCATTCTATACTTTCTGCCAGAGCTTTGGTTATACTGCACCCACCTTCTGCAGCCACCTTGCTTGGGAGCCAATCTTCACGAGGTGGTGGATGCTCTTAAAATACTGGCTTTGCATCTGTCCTAGGCGTTGGGAGTTAAAACACAACCCAGCTTGCCCCTCCTACCCTCAGTCCCTTTGCTAGCTAGCTGTGGCAGGCACTGCCCAGCTGGGCGGCTCAAATGTGTCCAGATGTGAGATTGGCAAATTGTTGAGGGGAGTGGAGATCTCACTTAGGAAATGGAAGGAACTACTGTTAGCTTGGAATTTTGTTAATAAAAAGCCCCTCATTCATAAAAATAGCCTTTAAAATGTCATTTCCTCCAAAGCATTATTTTTTTCTATCTCAAAACTACCTGTGTTGATTTCTTTTCTCTCTGTGTGTATGTATGTATGTATGTATGTGCTCACGCACACGTGTGTGTGTGTGCACTTGGTAATGAAAAATAGTCTCTGGCTCTGTGGTAAAGTCAGGACATTGTGTCAAAAGAACGGCCATATTGCATTTCTGCTTATCTATTCAAAATGCCACATTATAAGTGGCTGGTGCTCAGAATCTGTGTGGTGTGCTGTTGATAATTGTGGATACTGTAAAGGGTAAACAGTATGAACTCCACTCCTGCGGCAGCTATTCACAGGGTAAGGCTGAGCGTGTTACATCCAATTATGAAGTAAAGCATAATGCTACTAATAGCAGCTATGTAATTTAGTTCAGTCCTCAAAGACCTTGCTTTAACCTGCAAAATTGAAAAATTGTTTTATTCACAATTTGCTTTTTGTTCATTTTTTTTTAAAAAAGGTGCCTTTTCATTTCTTGAAATTATAATTATTAATTGGGCACAGAAACATAGCTTTGATACATGGAATTACTCTTAAGCCACATAACGTTCCCCACCGAAGCAGGTATTTTTCTAACTGTTTTGTGTGTGTTTCAAGTACCCTGATGCTATAGTCTTGACATGTTCATGATCTGGTGACAGGTTATAATATTTTCTTGGAGGGTTCCCTCCTCCTCTGTTGCTGGAAGGGCTCACAGATGGCATTGAACTGGACCTACCCCCTTTCCAGGAACGAAGCCTCCGTTTCGGCCTGCAGAGGTCAGCACAGAATCCAAGTTAAAAGTGGTTTCTAGCCCATATTTACAGAAGAATTATTTATCCCACCTATTACCTCAGGGACTTTCTAAAGAGCTCATTTGAGTCTCTCTCTATTAGTACATTGTGAGTGAGTAGGTCAGCTGATTCAAGCTGAGTAATCAACTTTCCTTTATCCCCACTCCCTGAGGAAAGAATTCAGCTGCCTTTGCCTCTCTCCACCCAGTGTAAAGCATTTGGGGGGAATTCCCTCTGTCACTCTCCCAAGTGGGGGGCAAGTAGGATCAGAGATGTTTGGACTTAGTAGGTCCTGACTGGTGGTTTTGCTATAGGAAATCTGTGAGGTCATTTATCCTGTATTCTTCTAAGAATGAAAAGAATGGGGAACTGTGATTTAAAAAAAAAAAAAAAGATAAAAAAAAAACCTTTACTATGTTGGGGTGACAAGAATCTGTAAAGATCTTTCCATATTGACAGTCTTCTAGGAAATAAATTGAAGTTACTTCAGTGATTATGCAACTCACACCTCAATAAAGTAGATTAGAATGAAAAAACTAAATCAGCTTTTTCCCCCTATGGAAGGAGAAAAGTATGTTAATTAATGAGGGGCCCAAGGCGTCCAGAGCCGCTTCCCAGCTAAGGACTATGCTCTAGAGAAGGCCTACGTTCCAATTACGTTTACAGTACCCTGTCCTAGACTAGCCCATATTTTGTTTGTGGCCATTCTGGGAAAGAAAGCAGTGCTGAGCTGCTTTGTTTGTTTAGATTGGGGGTCGTATTTGACCGATTTATATCAATCCCCAAATTGTTTCATTCTCCAGTTGAAAATAATATGCAGGATGTCCTTACCTCCAAATCAATTTTTTAAAAAAATAAAATATTTAACAAGTAGTAAAAAAAAAAAAATCTGATCGAGGTCTCAACATGATTGGACACTCAAAAAAATATGAGTTTGGTATTTATAACTAGCAAAATATCTTTTACCATTCTGGCTAATTAAGAGAATGTTAATTTTAGATTTGTGAGTCTTTTTTTTTAATTTTAATTCATTATGGAAGGGCTTATGGACCTTGAGCTAAGGAGTTGGGGCTCTATTTTTCTCTGATAAAGGAATTTTTGAATTTCACATCATTAATTAAAAAAATAAAATAAAACAAATAACAAACTCTTCAGGAGCTGCTACAGGGCCTTTCTGATATCTAAGAACAGGCAAACCTTCTTGTCGTGTCGAGGTATTGTCGGGGTCTGCTAATGTCTGGCGATCTCTAACACAATGGGGTGGGGAGGAGGGTGGAGCTACTGCATCTTTACACATAGCTCGGTCTAGGGATGGTAAGTTAACCTCCTGGTGAAAAACTTCACACTTTCTGGTGAAATCCTTAGGCAATGTCGTTAACTTCCTGAGTCAGTAATTTGTTGTTCAGATTCTTTTTGTAAAATGCTGTTTGGCTTGTGTTCTGAAAAGTGCTGCTCACGAAAATAACTTATGATTCATATTTCCGTAATGCTGTCACTGGGTTTCCATAGAGTGCTAAAATTTGTGTTTGCTCTTAAGTTGTGTATCAGGTTATGGATGATATTTCTCTTAAATGATTAAAGTAAGTTATTATCTATAATAAACTGTAAATCAGTAAAAACTGATCCTCTTATTTTTTTTTAATTTTCAGTTGAAAAATGAAAAATGGGATACATATGAAGAAAATCTTCATTATCCACTTCTACTGGTTTTAACCAAACACGGATAAAAGACTAAACAACTCAGAGAAGGCAAACATCAATATGTGTAGTCATATGCTTTTTAAAAAAAAATCTGAACATGTAATTGATAAGATAAAAGTGGAGTTTTTTTGTTTGTTTGTTTGTTTTTGGCATGTTGATATTGGAAAGTCCTAAGATTTCTGCCTCATCTCACCTCCAGAATATTGTAGGGTTTTGAGTTTCAGATTTTACCTTTTTTTTTAGATACAGTGATTCTTAAGCTCTCCAAAGCTGTTTTCCTTGTCCTCCCAGCCCAGCCGACTTCATGCTCTTCCTGAACCAAAGTGTTTTGTTTGCCTGTGAAAACTCACATGTACTTGTGGTAAACTCTAATGCTTTTCTGGTTAATTGGGAACAAAATTATTTTTAGTTGGAGTTTTTTGTAGAGGTTTTCTTGTTTAGGAGGAGACTTGTGAACAATACACACATCATGATTCTTCTTTACCCCCCCAAAAAGCCATTTCTTTGGAACCTCCCCCAAATATTAACTGTTTCTCTCTCTCTCTCTCTCTCTCTCTCTCTCTCTCTCTCTCTCTCTCTCACACACACACACACACACACACACACACACACACACAACGCTTTTTTCCCCTATAGACGTATAAGAAATCACTACATCAGACCAAAGCATCATAAACTGACCATTTGTCCTTTGGACACAATAGTTTGCCCAGCCCTCTGCTCCTCCTCTCCAATTATGTGTGATTAGTCTCAGTGTGTTGTGTCAAGAAGGGGGAGTGTGCTGAGTGCTTATTATCTGTTTAGGTACAAGAAGAGCACATTTAGGCTCTGACTATGAATGAAAAGTGAGCCTTTATCGAGTCTAAAATCTAACTGCTGCTTGTCTCCAGGCCACTTTAAAAACAGGTCCTTCCCAGAAAAATTCTAAACAAATGACTGATAAACTGGATTGCGTGTATGGGATTTAAAAAAATCAGTCTTGTAATTATTTTATTTAAACCAAGCATATATTGTTATTTGAAGTGCTTCCAGGGTATAGTAAACATTAAATGGGTGCTACCCAGAACTAACAGAGAATCACTTTTCTGCAAGGAATGTGAGTATATTCTTTCCTGGTGCTTCCTCAAAATGGTTTAAATGCTTTTGTAGAAATCCAGATGTTTATCTGTAAAGGATCATCTGTGAATACTGAGCTGTAATGTCATTAGCAGGTTATCTTTGCATCCTCATTCAATACTAGAGGTAAAATAATGGATATTTAATATAAGGACCTTTTTTAAAAAAAATTAAAGAAAAGGGAAGATTTGTTGAGGGCCCTTTTGCATTTTAAACAAACTTGGCTGTCATAAAAACACCCACTCCTAAAAGTCTTCCTCTGTTCACGTCTATCATCAAACAAATTTTTCACCACCATCAGTTTGCATGTCCTTATATTCACCACTTTTTCTACTCCATTAGAGCACCTAGATGGTTCTCTGAAGGCACAGGTCAAGTCGCAGTTAGATCATACATTTCTTTCTTACAAAAACTTGAATTGCAATGCCAAGTGATGGGCTAACATCACAATAACAGCAATTTATTCCTCTTTGGATAAAACAGCAGTCTATTCTCAGTGTTAGATAAAGACCAGGGCAATGCAAACCAGCCATTTAGCTGAGTAGTTCACTAGTGGTAGCTCTCCTTTGGGGATTGTATGGGTTGCATACTGGCTGAATATTTTCTTGTTTAAAAATCAGAAGCATTTGGGATGTTTTAAATAACAGTGCACATAGCTGTCCTCCACTTTCTTCATACTGGGGGAGAAAGCACAGACTTTTTCCCCACCAAGACAGTTACAAAATCTGAGACAAAGAAAACTCCATCACAGCACTGACACCCAAGCCTGCCCGTTCTTTCTTTTGAGTGTGATATATACAAATATACACCTATCTTCACACATAAACAACAGAATAATTAGACCATCTCATGAAAATACACAGATTCACAAGAATTTCATTTTCACTTGTGTGTTTAGGGTAGAGAAATTTCAGTATTTCTCTGAGAAGAAAACGTATATATTTCTTTTTAATGAACTGCTAAGATTTGGTTTCTTATGTCTGCATCGGGTATAATGTTACCAGATCCTGGTAAAAGATTATAACTGGAAAACTTTGAAGGAGATACCTATGATGTTCCCTACCTACCAATATACACAGTACAGGGGCCTGCTTATTATAAGGTTTAGTGTGAGAATTAAAACATATCAGTTGTTAACTGTAAAAGGTTAATGGTTCCTTAGTTATTCTTTCTACAAAGAACTTTTCCTGGGAATAGTCCTACTCTTAAGAGTCTGGAAATTTATAGGAGGCTGGCGTTGTATACTGTGGTTATGTTCAAAATGTCATCAAGACCTAGAAAGTTACATCAAATTTTAAGAGAATTCTGATCATGGGGTTAAAAATTCTTTGACCTTCCAAATTTCCATATTGATATATCTGTTAATCTTTATGATGAAAATCTACTTTTATATAATGCTGTTAGACCCCCATAACTGCCATTAAAACATATGATCCATTTCATTATATGGGCACTGTGGAAGTAGATATTTCAAAAGGAAGGCTTCTGTTTGATTAGGAATCCAAAAGTATTACGTCCTTATACATTTTTCCTAGCTTCTGACAAAGCTATACCATGTTTAGGATAAAACATAAATTCCTAAGGCACCTTTGCTAGACTAAGTTAATTTTGTCAATGCAAAAATTTTTCTGATATTACCCATCGTGGTTTATTGTGTGATGCTCTGAAAAGCCACATTCGAGTTGGTTATGAAAAATATATTTTATTTTAGCACAAGACATATGATGTGAATTGGGATATAAGTGCTAGAAAAGGCAACCTAAGAGGTTGATGCTATTTTGTATAAATCGTGTATTTTGTTGGCTTTTTGACTGAGCATGAAAATGTAACTTCCATTAGGGAAGGGTAATTTAGTTGCTTGGTATTCAGCAGAAAACTTGTCGGGGCCATAAAAGCTTTTCTGGCTGGTTCCTCGGGTGTTTTCAGAGAAGAGCTGCCCACCCCTTGCTGTTTTTCCCTTTGGCTTCAGTATGGGCCGAATTTGCCACTACATACCTGTTGAATCAATTTTGGGGATCCAGCAGTTAACTGAATGAATAGAAGGATTAGTGGCCCTCTGGAGCCCTATTTCAACAGCCAGGTGTCTGTCCTAAACTAGTTAACTGCTTTTGACAGTTGAAGAACCTGGTTTTAATGCTATAGGCGATAGGGTTTGTTTCCCCTCCCCCCAACCCCCCCTCGAGGAGCTGAATGGAGCATACCTTTTCCTAATAGTTTGGAATTTTGAGAAGGAATTGGTCATCCCTTTCCCACCTACCCCCACCTCCACCTAGGAGACCATTGTGCTTTGTCAGCACTTGACTTGCTGCCGACCATACAGACACAGTACGGCGCCAGTCTTGGCCGTTTTCCTGGGAAGGGCTTTGGAGGTTATAACGAGAGAAAATCAAAGTGTAAAGATGGCCCTCCACATTGGTGGAGAAGAAACTGTTTAGGCTACTGAAACTAGCCTCTAGTCTACAGACCCCAAGTGCCCCCAGAGGTTAGGATCTCCTGGGTCAAGGCCTCAGGAATTATATGAAGTGAGTTAGCCCTCTTTGAAGAAAGGTGAATTTGGAATCCAGACCTGTTTTTCCCTAAGCAGTAGATTTCAATTTAAGGCAAAAGCTATTTATGTTTTAAAATGAAGCAGGACATTCAAAATCTTCAGGAGATTTTTGGAAGCTGAAATGCCACTTGTGATTGACAAATTTTTCTTCTCCTCAATAGGTGACTGGCATAGGCCATACCTATATAGCCCAATGTGGTCTCTGCCTGGGAAGTCTGTGTATTTGGAGTGCCTGAGATCTGTCCTTTCCTCCTCCTGACTTTTCAGTTAATACACTTTTTAATAGATTAAACAGATCATACTATGACATAAATGTCAACAAGCTAGTAAACAGAAATGTAATGAAATGGCTAATGGGAGATGCAATCATTAATAGAGGCCCTGAAGTATGAGCATATACAGTAGCTGTATATTGGAAACTGTGCAACTGAAGATGACTTAGTATTGCAAACTGAGGAAGAAAATTGTTTTTAATTAGCACCTTCATAAGAACTGCTGATTAATACTGTTTTGTTTGGTGAAAGGCTTTCAGCTGAGTAATTTGTGCAGCCATTTCAACAGTTTTGTTAGAGCGGATCTCCTGTTGTTAAACACAAACAGCAGATGATAATGGTGGAAGATGAGTTTGTCATGTAACAATTTACCTTATTGAAAAAAAGCTTTATAGAAAACCCAATACAGTAGGTACCAGCAGAAATCACATATTTTAAATCCTTCCAAAATTGCAGTGTGCCGTGCTTCTGTTGTTGTTGGTGGTGGTGGTGGTGGTGGTGTTGGTTTTGGGGTTTGTTCATTTTTGGGTTTTTTTGGACACTAGAAGCAGATTTTATATCATTTATAAAATTATATACACAATTTAAAGGTGGTGTGGCATGGACAGACCACTTTGCCAGCTACAGTTTATATCGGAGCAGTAAAGTGGCCTTGTATTCAAACACTTTCTAAACTCCACAAAGCAGGTTAGAAAATCAAAGCCTAATTAAATAATGTTACTTGCATGTAAATTTGCACTGGAGCTAGATGTAGGAGAAAATAAAGATCACTGTTCTTGTACTAGATGGGTTTATCCCACATGAGATCTTAAAGGATCTCTCTTTTTTTCTGAAGGGAGGTTTAATTAATCACTTTTCCCCCTTCTGGGGGCTGTTTTTAACGGGCAAGTGAAAACAGTTCCTTTCATTGGAACCTGACCAGAGCATAAGGGGCTAATTTCAGTGAACTCTCATCAAATGGATATTGCCCAAGCCAGAAGCCTGGGAACTTTTTTTTTTTCATCAAATGCAATGGCAAAGAATATTTGCATTAAAATATTACACTAACCAAGGCTGGTAAGAATTGTAAATTATCGCAGTGCCATAAAGGAGCATGAGAGTTTTCTTTTTTTTCTTTTTTTCTTTTTTTTTTTTTGTAGACAGGCCTTCGGGGTAATAACAAGGGTTGAGGCTCAATAAGGTTTAGACAGCATAATAGTCTAC